AATAAATGATAATGTGCTAAAATGGTCAAAAAAGCTAAGAGATCATAGTTGGAATAAAATAGTACGTTGCCAATGATTCATCTTGTTAATTTTGTGAACGTAATCATTGATTGAACTTAAATGGAATAAACTTGAGAGTTTAGGGTACAAAATATCCAAAATTAAGAGTTTAGAGTGTAAAATGTCCAAAATTGAAGTTTAAGGTGCATAGTGAGAAAATGATATAATTTCAGGGGTGTGAAGTGGAGTCAAAAGCTAAAACAAGAGATTGGCTAGTCAGATTATTTTGGTCACTTCTCATCTTACAAACATCCAAATGAAATGATTCTTGATGCATTGAAAAGGTAACTCAAAGGGTTACAATTTTCATGTTTCATGTAAGAGCTATTTCTACTTTCATGATCAAGAAATTTGTAGTTGAATTTAAAGCAACCTAGAATAATATTGAAGATTGAGCAAAAAGTGGGAACCCTGCGAACTATAGGAATCGTGAAGCGGATCCACAAGGCAAGGCTCACAGTTCTAGGGTCACAAATCCCAGATTTCAACCTACAACTTGGATTTTGTTCATACAACTTTTTTGACTCATTTTCCTAATCAAATTTCGGCTGTAGTTGTATAAAATATATTTAGAAAAATGAAGAACAACTTTATGTCAACATTATGAGTACATTTCTACTCAAAAAATATCTATAACTACCCCATTGTATCTTATTGATTTGAGTATATGTAGCATAGAGAAGTAGAGGTAGAAATTAGTTTTAACTCTAGTTTCATACTGTGAGTTTCTTTGTTAGTTTAAGACTTTTGAGAGGAAAGTGAGAGCACTCTTGTACTAAGCACATTTGAGAGATCAACTTGTGAAGGAATTCAAGAATTTAACCTTTAAGACGTGGAATAAGAATTCTTCTTCCTAAATTTTGTCTCTTGTTCATACTTGTCATGATTTATTATAAGTTTGTTTCATACTTATATTTTCTTAATATGATCTAGCTAAGTTTTTTCACCTCCTCGGGTGAAGATGAACTTATTGTAGTTTTGATATAAAGTAGTTAGGGAATAATTATACTTTTTCATGATTTGTTATTTTGAAAACTTGTGCTTATGCTTTATAGTTGTTTGGGCATCAACTATGAATGATTTGATAATTGTTGAGTACTGAAAGTTGCTTTCAAATAGATTCAAGTTTTTAAACACTAGATTTATTCTCACGTAAATAGTGAATAAAAGTAGTTTGGATTCATGTGATAATTTCATTCAGTTTATTTAGCGTATTTCTTATCTTTTCTCCATGAAAATAGGCGAAGAATGATTCAATAAATTAAAGAAATTAGCGAAACCAATTTCTAGAGGAATGAGTCAAGGTGGTTTCTCTTAAAATTGTTCATTGGTGAAAGTATGAGGACCCGAATTTTTTTTGTTTATTTATTATTATTTTATTTTATTTTACTGGCTTATCTAATTATTTATTTATGCATTTGCTCCAATTAATTTATTTCATTCATTTCAATTCCATCTGCATGGTACATTGTCTCATTTTATATTTTAACAAATTTGCCCTTAAACTTAATTTTTCTGTCGCTCGATTAGTAAAAATTAGAGAAACACATTTTTCGAGGCAATATTTGGTCCGAGAGTGTAGTGATCTTGGAGAATTAAGGATGATCAATTGCAGACTAAGAAAAGTTAATTGAGGTATTAGAGGTGATTGAGTTGAATTAAGTTCAATTAGGAGCACTAATGAGCCACTATTCAAATGTTGACTTTTGCACCAAAGGATTAGGTTTATGTCCCATCTTTCCTTCATGCTCTCACATCACCAAAAATCACACAAACCTCTCTCTTCTTCCCTCCCTTGGCCGAAACTTCCTCCTCCATTTAGCCAAGAAAATTTCAGTTTTTCCTCTTCATTTTTGCTCACTAAACTTGCTCCAACTTTGCTCACACTCTTGGATCATCCTCAAACTTGGTAGAAAACTTGGTGGAAGGAAGATTCTTGAAGTCTAGTGCTTGGTTTCTTGAGGTTTTTCTTACTACCATTGGAGGAAGGTAACCTCTCAAAGCTTCCATTTTTCATTCATCTTTTAGTTAGTTTTAGCTAGATAAACTTGGGTTTGTTGATGGGTTCTATGAATCTTGACATTAGGTAGATGTCTTGAGGAAGATTATTAGGTAGTGGCCTTGAGAATTTTTGTTTTTTTGCTTGTTGTTTTAGTAATTTCTAGCTTGGTTTTGGGTGTGAGAGTTGGAGAGAAAAATTTGAAGAGAAAGAAGAAGCAAGGTTGTCCGATTTTTGCTGGTTTGTTTTTCTTGTTTTAATTTCGAAATTTGTGGTTATATTGATGCAAAAATGCTTGCTATATGTTGGATTATGTGTGTGTAAATTATCTTGCAAAAATCACTTCATTTGAATGAGTTAAACTTAAGTTAAAGGGAAGAAATCAAACCTAGAAATTTCTGATCAGTGCAGCCGACCAGTGTCTACTTAACAACACATAATTTTTTGTACAGGAGTCAAAATCAAGTACCGTTTGTGGCATGCGAAACTAGACTCCGAGGGCTTTCTAACGGTTAAAATGCACATGCTAGTGCATTTTCTATGAGTCGCAGTGAATTGGAAAATTTGGCTGCTTTCAGTCACTATTTTAACCGCGAGACTAGCACAACTACAGTTTGTAACTCATTTTCACTCTCCTTGCAAAATGAATTTGAAGAAAGTTTCTTCTAATGATTTTTAGTAATTTAAATCCAGTTTTCAACGCCATAAACCATGCTAATTTTGGACCTATGTAGCCTTAGTTATGACCTGATTTAGAAACTGTGTCGAGTGTTCTAAAGCTGGAATTTTGTGTATCAGGTTCAAAAAATCAGCTTTCGAAAAACTGTTGTATCTTGGTGTAGTAAAATCCAAATTGAGTTTCGTTTGTTGCGTTTGAAACTGGATTTCGAGTTCTTTCAGCGGTATAAATTTCAAGGGCTAGTTTGATTCCTATGAAGTTTGACAAATTTTAAAAATTCACTGAAATTCAAGACTGTTTTGCCCTGTTTTTACTGAATCGGCAATTTGGAGCTAAGATTTGGCTGATTTCGGATTTGTTTCTGGAAAAAGTGTCTTCTAGAGAGTTTTAGTTCATTGAGTCTATTTTCCAAAGGCATTGCAAATTTTGGACTTATGGAACTCAAGTTATGATTTTTCAAAGAACGTTGCCAAAACTGGAATTTTTCTTATAAAGTGACAAAACTCCAAAGTGGTTTGGAAACATTTTCCAGGTTTCAAACCTAACCTTCTTGATTATGCATCTCATTTCATACTTGAGAAATGGATTTCACCTTAGTCTTATGCCCTTGGTTTCCATTAAAATGAACCATAAATTGGAGCATTTAACTAGAGTAATTCTTGAGGAATTTCACTAGTCTCATATTTAAAACTTGGAATTTTTAGCCCCAATATTTACTACGAAAATAAATAACGTGTTGATGGATTTTGACTTCATAAGTTTAAAAAATATCAACGCTCATTTATATTCTAAAACGTGGGCATATGATTAGAAGTTTTAAGATAGGAAAATAATTTTTCCTTTTCTCGATTTTCATGCCAAAAATTAAGTATGGTACTTCGCTTTTGAAATCGAAATTTCTTGCCACGATTTGGATCGAAATTGACTTTTGAGTCCTCCTTGAGTATTATTTCAGTGATTAAGCAAGAAAGTCTCTTTTAATTCGACTTGAACTTGTGGCTTTGAGTGTGGGTAGCAAGAGGATATTTTTCTTATTAGCCTTGGTCGAATACCTAGGTAATCATGATTGTGCATGTCTCAGGTGATCACGTGGACACCAAGGAGCTCGTTTGATCTCTTGTTTTTGCTCTCGCTTTGCTTTTGACTTTTGGTGAGTGTCAAGTGCATGTTTGATGTTACTATAATTGAAATGATATTTGTGCAAGTGCTATGTGATTCGTGAACTTGTCGAGGAGAGGGTCTACTTTATCGCCTTCGTCCTCTCCTTTTAAATACTTACTACTTGTTATATGAATTTGCATGACTTACACTTGTACTTGAACATGCTTTTAACTCGTGAGCATTGAGCAGCAGCATGCACCACACCCTATTCAGGTGGGAGTGCCTCTAATCCGGACTCAGTGCTATGATCGATTCTAAGTCGATTGGAGCGTTGTTTCATCGACCAATTGTACTTGTGGAGATACCCAACCCATTGGCTAACCTCATAACTCAAGTCGGCAAGGGCTTGGTCGAGAAGCTTGGTGAACCTTAGAAAATTTTATAGTTTGATCTTTTGAGATCTCGCTTGGCGTACTCGAATAAGTATTGCCACTTCGTGCTTGTTTGGTTTCGGATCCAAGAGGATGAAATGTTGGATGGAGGAAGTAAGTGGAGCTCTACGGACATGTTGTTACTTGAGTTGACAGAGGGTCACTACTAGAAATTTGGTCTTCAGTGACAAGCCATTTTTGTCACAAAAAAATAAAAAGTCGTCACTGATAACTTTTATTGACAACTTTCTAGTTGTCACAGAGTCGTCACTGAAGGCCCGTCGGTAAAAGTATATAGTGACGACAATAAAAGTCGTCAGTGAATGGAACTGTTTTGTGACAACTGATGTCATCAATAATTATTGTAATTTTAGTGATGACATAGTATCTTGTCAATGATGTACAAATAAATGCCGTCACTAAAAGTGATATGTAATTGTCATTGGTATAGACTAATTACTGACGACTTTTGTTTTCGCTAAACACTTTTTAATTCTATGACCACAGATTGTTATTAATGGAAAATTCTGATTCAATGATAACTCTTTATCACCATGAAAATTGAAAATTTTCCTACAACAATTATATCTATAAATGGAAAAAAATGACAATGATTTATAATTAGCAAATGAATGCATCCATTGCATTACGAAATGTCAAAATATCATATAAGCATTCAAATATCATAATGAAGTTCAACAACACCCTATAGATAGTTTGATAAGTGGTATTTGGCCTAAATTTCACATATAACTCGAGGTAGCTTTACAAAACAAATCCAAGTCCCAAATTTCAACACAGAGCCGCTTCAGCAACACTCAGCTCCTCCCCTCAACACTCGGCTCCTCCCCTCAGGTAAAAGATTTGTAAGGCAGTTTCCAGCAATGGCTCCTAAAGCTGACACCACAAAAAAGCTTGATACAAAGGCTCAGGCAGCCAAGGTTGCCAAATTTGTCAAATCTGGGACAACTTTTAAGAAGAAAGCCAAGAAGATCCGGACCAAAGTTACCTTCCATCGTCCTAAGACATTGAAAAAGGACGGGAACCCGAAGTACCCACACATCAGTGCTCCTCCTCGGAATAAGTTGGACCATTATCAGATTCTCAAATATCCTTTGACTACTGAATCTGCCATGAAAAAGATTGAAGATAACAATACCATGGTATTCATAGTTGACATCCGTGTTGATAAGAAGAAAATCAAAGATGCAGTGAAGAAGATGTACGACATACAGACCAAGAAAGTGAACACTTTGATCAGGCCTGATGGAACAAAGAAAGCATATGTTCGGTTGACTCCAGACTACGATGCTTTGGATGTGGCAAGCAAGATTGGAATAATATAAACGAATTTAGTCATTGTTTTGTTCCAATCAAAGATACTGTCTTTTAAGTGTGACAATTTGCTAGGCGGTTTTGTCGTGAAAAAAAAATACCAAATTTCAACACAAGGGGGAATTTTTAACATCAGACAAAATTTCACTAAACCTTGCCATTTCCCAATTTCACTATATCTCTTGTAGTTCGGTTGCTTAGCTAAAATTTGCAATCCAATAAGAACCTCATTAATTAAAGCTGGACATTCAAAATCAGCCCCAAAGAAAATCAAAATCAGCCCCAAACTAATGCACCAAATTAGCTCAAGAAATAAGTACTGCTATTAAACTTCAGCCTCAAAGGAATAATATAACAAGTTGATAAGGCAACAAGCACTACTATAACAAGTACTGATATAAGTACTGCTATGAACAATATAACCAGTTGATAAGACGATAAGCACAACGCTAAAGGAAAAGCAACTTCAGTTCACTTGCTTAGCTAAAAATTCAAATAAACTAAACTAAACTAAACCAAAAATAATCCAAACTAATGCACCACAGAGGATACAAGGTGTCAAGTATGATAACCAAAGTAATGTTGATCATGATATAAGGTGTCAAGTAGGAGCAATGTGTACCAACATAACTAGAATGTTTTTTGCCATTTAAAAGCAAATAACAACTTTCTTGTTCTAGATCTCTGAAATTACTTTTACTGTTTGTCATGGTGTATTAATTCCATAGAAAACCAGCACCCCTTAATATTGTATTCCAATCAAACTAGTGAGTTAGGCAAGTGCAGGACATTGCAAAACATTCACAGTGAAATTTACTTCAAGAATGGCACCAAAAATGGTAACCATTCATGTGAAAAGAAAAGGTATTACCTCAAGGAATGCCTTCAAAACCCACATAAAAGTTAGTATTATTACTCCGTTAACAGAAAATCCAACCTACATCCAGCAAAAAGTTTGTGATTATACAATATAAAATAATGCTATATGGAGAACAAACTACCATGTAAGACATGAAACTATCAATAATTAGCAATTAACTGTGGCAAGATGTACACTTCTCATTTAGCATTATTCCAAGTAGAAGAGGCAAAGCCATATTAATTTGAAAAGGGACATATAGATAGCTGGGGGAGATGGAAAGCAGGTTTTTATAGTGAATATTGGGGTAATAGATAATATGATAGCACTTAGCAGAGCTGTGGGGAGTACTCAAAAGGATAAAAATGGCTTGGAACTCTGGAGAAAGAAGAGTGATTCTGGACAGAATTGCAAGGCAGCTTTGGAACTAATACAAGGAGCAGGACAGGACTCACCACTATAAATCTAATATGTCAGATCAGGAATGTTTTAAGCAGGGATCGGGAATCCTGGCTACAACATGTTTGGAGAAAGAAGTAAGTGTGCAGACTAGCTAGCTAAAAGTAGTGTCAACAAAGAATCTGGGATGCAGATTATAGCAGAACTGCCAGCAGGAACTTAGTGAATTGCGTGGTGCAAATATTTTAAGGGCTGTGGCCCTATGTTTTGTTTCTGTTTAAGAGGTTTGACCTCTCCTTGTAAACTTAACAAAAGGAAATATACTAGGCAGAGAAGTAAATGCGGTCAACACATTTGCAGGACACATTCACAATAGCTAATATGGCAGCTTTTAAGGCAAAAGTACAAATGCAATGATTTGGAGCAACTTGTCCAGGTTTTCTAAAAAAATATAAATAAATGGAAACAAAGGAAATGAGAGTCGATTTGTGAGTGTCCACATTTACACAAAGATAGAGCACTTCCAACAGGAAAACATTAGGAAAGAGCTTGAAGTCTTGACAGACATATTTCAATCACCTCAATTCAAGAAACATTCAAGGCTGCTTTTGAACCAGACTAAGTGCATGGATCTAAACGAGTTGAATTTTGAAGTAAAAAAAATGTTGATTTTGAAAAGGCATTCAAATCTGTAGGATTTACTCTTACTACCTTAATTGTAATGCATTTAGCTCTACAAACAACACCACAATACTACCTTAATTGTAATGCATTTAGCTCTACAAACAACACCACAATGATGATTTGTAGACGCTTTAAGTAAAACTGAAAAGGGGACGCTTTGAACACATACCAGGAATTGCTGAAAAAGGGACGCTTTGCAGTTTAATGTGAAATTAAAACCAAAAAATAAACCAAGCGCTTGAAAATAGAATAACCAAGAATTTGATAAAATCTTAAAGAAACATACAATCTAAATTTTTTTAGAAAGCAAAATCCAACGGTTTCAGAGAATAATATATCAAACCCAATAAAGAACAAAATCTTCAAAATAAGAACATGCTGCTAATGTTCAATTAGACTAGTAACAATAAAGTTTATAAAAAGGGGGGGAGAATTTCCCTCAGTCACCGCCGGCTTGGTGCAGGTGTTCTTCTTGCGCTTCTTGGCCCACCGTCGAGGTGGAGAACGAGGTGGAGGGCTGACTCCTTCTGGATATTGTAGTCGACTAGGGTGCGGCTGTCCGAGCTGCTTGCCAGTGAAGATGAGGTGCTGCTGGTCCGGGGGATGCCCTCCTTGTCCCGGGCAGAAATTTTTTTAAAAAACAAATTTGGGGAGAAATTGAAACAATTGATCATCTAAGTAGGGTAGAAAAGGTGATTGCTAATTAGGGTAAGAAACTTTGGGGAAACTAGACAAATGATAGAGAAGAAGAGAATTTACCCAAAACTTGAATGTTGGGAACACAAAATCGGGTCAATAAAAATTGGGGGAAATTGATTACTAAGCAAGAAGACAGAAACTTGCCTTTTTACAGCACATGCTCTGAGGAAATATATCAAAATCAGTAGCCCAATAAGGAGGAATGCTCGAGCATTAGTGAGAAAGAAATTGAGAGGGTCGAAGTGAGAGAGAGACCGAGAGAGACAGTGAGAAGGCCAGCGAGTGAAAATGTGAGAATTAGAAGTGTATCAGACTTAGCCCAAAAGTGGTAGACTTGTACTCTTTCATTTTGAAATTTGCTTTTTAAAGAATGCCTCCATCAATTTTCAATTCCCGCTGTTTCTTTTTCATTTTGAACGAAAAATTTGATCCAATTTTTAGTTTTATCTTTTTATTTAGATTCTCAAAGAAAGGTTATTTTCTTTGTATTAAATTAAACATTTTAATTAGGGTTAATACCACTTTGTCCCCCAAACTTTGGACGATTACCCACTTCAATCCCTAAACTTCAAAATGGGACACTTAAGTTCCTAAACTTATTAATACCTCCCATTTGAGGAAAATTGTTAACAAATCCTGAATGCCGTTGGTGGTCGAAGTGTCCCATTTTATAAGGGTTTAGGGATTTAAGTGTCCCATTTTATAAGTTTAGGGACTTAAGTGGGAGGTATTAATAAGTTTAGGGACTTAAGTGTCCCATTTTGAAGTTTAGGGACTGAAGTGGCTAGTCGTCCAAAGTTTGGGGGGACAAAGTGGAATTAACCCTTTTAATTAAGTATACTAGATCAGGAATCTACTTTCATATTATTTTAAAAATAATTCATTATTTTTAAACATGAAAAAAGAAAAATCTTAATTATGTGTTAAGAACTTTCTATATCAGTTTCTAGAAAATTTTGTTAGTTTTGTCTAATAGTACTATATTTTTTTAGATGTTTTATATTGAAGAATCATGAATGTAAACTTGCACGAAACTATAGTATACGTATTGATTTGTAAGAAAAATATGTATTCGTTTTGACTTTTAGCAAATCAACATTAAATTTGAAGGAATTGCAGTAATTAGTAGTCCTGATTTCATTAATTAACTTATATAACACAACTAATTCCGCTTTTCATCAAAATAAATTTGTACTTAATGAGTTTCAAACATTCAACCAATTGGATGTCAAGGAGGCATCGACAGTACCCAAAATTAAGGTATTTGAATTTAGAGGCCTTGAGTTCTAATTGTAATAGTTTATATAGTTGTTCTAACTAAAAACTTTCATTAATTTTTTTCAGTTAAAAACTTATTGAGTAACTATGACTAGTTTAATAAATTATCAAATTTTTAAAAAATTAAATTAATATTTAAGTAACTATGACTAGTTTAATAAATCATCAAATTTTAAAAAAAAATTAAATTAATATTGAGGCTGACAATTAAATAAAGTCATAGTTAATAAATCATCAAAATTTTAAAAAAATTAAATTAATATTGAGGCTCACAATTAAATAAATGCATTAGAGATGTTCAAGTCAGTGATGATACTTATGTTGTCACTAACTACACTATAGTTTTACTGACATAAATTGGTCGTCAATAAACATAAACAGTGACAACAATGAAAAGTTGTCAAAGAAAGTGGTAGAATTACTGACAACTTTTAGCAAGTCGTCACTATCGCAAAACTCGCGCCTTCCAAGTCCCATGGCGCGAAGTAGTTTTGTGACGACAATTAAAGGTTGTCACTGAAAACTCAGTTGCTTTGAGTCAATTGTGACAACCTTCAAAGTCGTGACTAAACAACCTTATTTTGTGACGACTTTTTGTCGTCACAAAGAAATGTTGTCACTAATGACTTTTTTCTTGTAGTGGGTCAACCACAGGTGGCTTGAACTGGTTGAGACGTGGAAATAACTCCTGTGAGCTCCTGTATCATTTCTACTTGTGTTTTACTTCCTATTTGTGCATTAAATAAAATTTCATGTTAAGTCACTTTTAAGTGTGACAATTGATTTAATTTGTGTTACTTGCTTACTTGTTTGATTTTCTTGGCCTCACTGAGCGTTAGCTTACCCTAAGTTGTTTTCCTTAACAGATTGTAAGTGGAAGTTGGGGACTCTAGACTAGCGATTTTTGGTTGAAGCTAGTAAATATTTTGTAGGATATTGGAGACTTTTGAAGTGTAAACTTTGTTATATTTGGGGTTATGGATTTTAATTGTAAATGGTAGCCTTAGAAGAATTTGACTTGTATATTCGAAATATTTCTTAATTCTAAGTCTATGGTTGACTTGTAATTCTCTATTAAGTTAGAATGAGTGC